CGGGGCGGGGGCTCCGGGGAGACCATGCCCGGAGGCCGGCCGGCCGCAGCATGGCTCACGGGCCCGGAGCGCTGATGCTGAAGTGCGTGGTGGTCGGCGATGGGGCGGTGGGCAAGACGTGCCTACTTATGAGCTATGCCAACGACGCCTTCCCGGAGGAGTACGTGCCCACTGTCTTCGACCACTACGCAGGTAAGCTCCGGAACTGCTGACTAAGGGGCTGTTCCCCGGGCCAGGAACTTTGGAGCAACTTTTGGCGGAGCCCCCTCATTGCCTCCCCTGAAGCGCGCTCCCTACCCCCCTCTCCCGCACACCCTCTGCCTCGCACCCAGCCCCACCCCCGAAGCTTTGCTTCCAGCCACCCCACCCGCCTGCATACCTGACCCCCCCCTTCCTGCTCCTAGTCTCAATCTCCAGCCATCCCCTGCTCCCCGCACTTCCTAAACCTCTTGGTGCCTTGGGCTGACCGCCTTGACCTTCCCACATCCGCCTCCTCTTGCGCATCTAGCCCCCTGGGGGAGACATTTGGTGGGACCGGGAGACACTTGGCTACGGGACTTGGGAGAACGGGGTGAGCAGCTGGGGCTACATCTCACCCGGATCTCACGCCACTTCACAGTGAACTGGGAGCAAGGGAAAAGGAGAGTGACTTCTCCCGGGGAGTACCCGCACACTTACAACAGGGTTGGGAGACTGAGGGTCCTGGTGGGGATCGAAGTTTCTCCACAGCCCAGGTCATTGTGAGTTTCTCTCCCCGCCCCCATTTCTGTCCTTGCAGTCAGCGTCACCGTGGGGGGCAAGCAGTACCTTCTGGGACTCTATGACACGGCCGGACAGGTGAGTGTATTGGCCCCAGGTCTGCTGACAACCCTCTCCCTTCCCCAATTCTGGGTAGCTGCAAAGGGCCTTTGGAAACTGAGGTGTCTAGGAGGGAGAGTGTGTCTGCTAGGGCCCTCTTGGTTCGGGTATTTATTTCTTTTTTCCAAGTCGCTAAATTATGAGAAAACAAAAACAAAATCAGACTAGCCCACCCTTGGGCTGCAAAAGTTTTTGCCTGTGTGTGGCTGTGTGCCCTTCTGTATGGCGCCTGGTGTGTGTGTCCCAACTCCTGTTGCAAAGTGGCAGTGGCCAATCCTGAAGGACCCTTATTTTTAGTTGCAGATGACCAGGTCTCCCCCTCACAGCCTCTGTCTGGGCCCTCATTGGTGAGTGGTCTGCCTGGCCAAGGATCCTGATTGGTGGGAAATGGCATCATCTAATATGATGGGAAGGCATTTGGTACTGGTTATGTTTATTACAACATCATTGCTCTCTGGGACTCCAGTCCACGAAATGTAATTTGTGGTGTTACCAGAGGACCACAGGGAAAAAAAGAAAAGAAACAACAACCAACCAGCCACTCCCTGGGGCAGAAGTAGAAGGGTTAAAGGGTTAAGGATTCAGTGTGAATTTTAGAGGAAGAGCTTTCCCCCTCCCTACACAGCCAGGTGACTTTGATTTTCTTTGGGAGAGATTGTTGTGCAGGAAAATATGCACACTTCTTGCAGCCTCTGACCACTGTTTTCAATTCATTGATAGCTAGGCTTTGCTCCTGGGAGATTAAGGTTTGTTTTCTGTCTCTCTGCCTAAGTTCCACCCTCTTCCCAGACCCACTTTGGCTCTGGGACTAAGGATTATAGTGAAGTTTCATAGAATTCAGTCCTGTGATTGGTCTTGAAGACTCAGGCAGAAGTCTCCCCATATAATGCAGATTTGACTCCTTGAGGCCATGTGAGCAGCTGAGGGGGTTAAAGGGTGTTTGGAGAAAGTCCAGTAGTATACATACTTCATTTGTAAAGTAGGTGTTCCCAACCCCCAATAAGATCCTCTTCCTGTGAAGTTACTGTGTGCTGGAAGCTTAGCACTGAGTCTGGCTCACACGAGGTGCTCACTAAAACCAGTTGCCATAGAGTTGAGTCTGACTGGTGGTGCTCTTTGTAGCTTGTTTAGATTTGGATTTCAGAATTGTGGGTACCAGGTTAGAATTTGTGTTAGATTCTGAAAAATGACTTGGGATGGCTGGATGGTGGTCTCTGATTTCTAAGCCGAGTTAGAGGAATGGCTGACAATAGAGAAACTGCTGGCAGGGCCTGAGGCTGCCCATACACCCAGACTGGTCTGAGCAATGCAACCGGGTCTCAGTTTCCAGGGCCCCTGTTGCTTGCCTGCCTTGTAGCTGTTATTTGTTCTATCTACATCCCAAGGTGGAAGGGTAAGAGAAATGAGACAGAACTCAATCAAATAAGACTAACTGATAAGCAGCACAAGAGATTGATATTATTGATTGAGAGGAGGGAGTGTTTTAAAAATTAGCTCTTAAGTTTAACTTTTCCCACAACTCCTCTTTCCTTACTCCCTTTACTTATCATGTGTCATGATGATCTTTTTTTTTTTTTTTAAACCATGAATACTATTCAACAGGACAGAGCTGTTCTCTGCACAAACTCAAATATAATTTCTGAGTTCCTTCTACCTATTAAGCACAGTGTAGCCACATGCAAATATTACTGTATTTACTCCATAGAACAACTCTGTGAGATAGTACAGTTGTCCCTTGGTATCTACAGGGATTGGTTCCAGGACTCCCCCTGCAGATACCAAAATCTGTGGATGCTCAAGTCTCTTTTATAAAATGGCATAGATTTGCATATGACCTTCCCATATGGGAGCTCTGGTGGCGTAGTTCCTAAGGCATTTGACTGCTAACCAGAAGGCTAGCAGTCCAAACCCACCAGCCACTCCTCAGAAAGAAGGTTAGGCAATCCACTTCCGTAGTGATATTGCCTCAGAAACCCAAGGAGGGGTCGCTATGAGTCGGATCTGACTCGATGGCAGTGAGTGTGTGTGTGTGTATATGTGTGTGAGATTACTTATAAAATGCGTCATATAATGTAAATGCTATGTAAACAGCACTTTACACTCCCTCTTGGGCTTTGAGGGATTGCTTTAACCACTTAATTCTTCTCCTCCCCCCGCAAAATTTTCTGTCCGTGGTTGGTTGAGAGCCGACTGTATTGCCTTTTGGAAGGTGAGGAATTGGGGCTCAGGGAAGCTAGATTGCTTGCCTAAGGTCACACAGCACTAAAGAGTGTTGCTGGGATTAGGATTTGAGTCTGCATTTGCTGCAGTGTGATGTGGTTACAGGAAACTGTGGGAACTGTTGAGATGCTGCCTGGGTTGATTGGCTTGTTCGAATGCCTATAGGATACCTGGAGTCTTCATGGCTATGCTCAGTTAGGGTTGTACACAGAGTTCTCCATAGAGAGGAGAACTTAGGTCCAGAGAGGGACAGGACTTGCCCAAGACCACCTGAAGTTGAGCCCATTTGCAAAACCAGGGCTTTCCATATATCACCATATTTACTCTTTCCAAAGGCAGATTGTAAGATGTATATATACCAAGTGGGATCAACCTATCAATAAGGTTTGAGTATTACTACTTTTACTTAGGTGTGGGACACCTACTGTGTTGACCAAGTTGTATATTAGGTCTTCTTGCATTTCTCCCAGTGTCTTTTACTGGGTTGTACTAAGACTTTTGTTTGGGGTCAAAGTGGCAATTTATCCTTCAGGATTTAAGGGCTTCTTACTAATAAGCAACCTTAGGAAGATAATCAGCAATGAGACAGAATAATGAGAACCCACCCTGTACCTCGCTAGACTGTGCTTAAGCTCTTGAGGGGGAGGGGGCCAGGACTATAAAGAGTAAATTTAAGATGGGAATCTGCTGTGGCTAATTATAACATAAATAGAAATGCTTGGGTCATATGCTTATTTATGTGTTATGTAGGAAATTCTTGTATTATACTTGGCCATTGAGACCCCATACTTCTATGATTCATCCTATTTTTCACACACAAAAAAAGTGTACATGTGTGTATATACATATACATATATACACACACACACACACGCACGCATGTGTGTGTATATAAAACCAAATCCATAGCCATCTAGTTGATTCTGACTCATAGTGACCTATTAGAGTTGCCCCACAGGGTTTTCAAGGCAGTAATCTTTACAGAAGCAGACTGCAACATCTTTCTTCTACAGAACAGCTGGTGGGTTCATTCCATGAACTTTTCAGTTAATAGTTGAGCACTTTAACCACCGTGTCACCAGAGCCCCTGCGGGTTTCTCTGTGTGTGTGTGTGTGTGTGTGTATGTGTATAAATGTTTAAGCTTGATGGGCATCAGGTAAAAGCACATTGTCTTTGGAACAAACAGACTTGTGTTCACATCTCCACCTTGCTATATTAGCTGTGTGACCCTAGCTAAGTTATTTACCTTCTTTATAATCTAGTAAAAATGTGCATAATTAAAATCTATACTGAGGGTGGGTTGTAGGCTGGCTTAAACTGTTCAACGTATATAAAAGCAGCTCTCACTGTCCTTTATTCATAGTAGGTGTATAATAACTATTATAAAGAAATTATTGTGCTCCATTGTGGGCAGTTTTGTGGGAAGAAGGGGTCCTAGGTAGAAGAGGACAATAATGCCTGGAATTGATAGAAATTCCTTTAGAATGCAGAGGTATGGAGCCTGCTTTGCATTTTATAATTCCCACAGTAAACATCACTGGACACTGGTCATAGTCAACTGCTCCATGTTAGAAATGCCTTGTTCTGTGCCAGGTGGTTTACTTTCTAACCAGAATGTGCATCCCCAGTTGATGTAAGAGAATTAAAAGGTCCATATAGAATTTAAGTAACAAATGGGGTATAGAAACTTCAGTTGGCTTTACTTTCAGAGAGGTGAGATGGGATGAGGAGGAAGCTCACAGCACTGGAAAACTGTTGCTTTCCCTCCAAAATGTTCATACAGTGGGCCAACTCAGATTATCTGAATCACAGCAACAGTGCCTTGCGGTGGTTGAAACCTTGAGGCTGCGTGCCTATGCTTGGCCTCTTCCTTGACCCTAGTCAAGTTCAAAGCTATAGGCATCATTCATACAATTTATATACTGGGGAACCTACCGTTTAAGTGATGTTTGTAGTAGGTAGATGACCATTCCATATCATGCTTCTTTTCATTTGACCTCTGCTGCTGTTAGCAGAGAGAGAGAGAGAGTTAAAGAGAGAGAGAGAGAGAGAATAAATGAGTATGAATGTGAGTGTGTTGAGCCACTTCGTTCCCATCACAAACTCTGCCTGGGGACATCCCCTCAATGTCCCCAACACACTAGCATCCCTGCCAAATGGAAGCCCTCTCTTGGCTAAGCCCCTAGGTGGTCAAGGAACAGCCATGACTGCCAAGCATTTTGGAGTGAAAGTTGAGGGGGAGATGTCTTCCTCCTTACTGGGGCCCTTATGGAGGGATCTAGCTTCCTGCCTGGGCCTCAGTGGTACTTCAGTGGAGGCTACAGCAGTTCATTGTTCAGAGAGGGCCTGGAAAGGTGAGATTTTCTCTCCTATCTCTACACAGTTTGGAATGACGAGGAAGTGGGAAGAGTTCTCTCTGTTTGTCCAGACAAGCCAGTGGGGAGCTGCCTGGCAAGCTGCTCTCTAGCTCCTGGCTCTGGGCTGATCTCTTAATCCTTGGCAGGAAGGCAGAATTTGATACCCTGAAGAGGGAATGACTGGAGCCCAGTTTATCGCAGATCCCAAAATACTCACACTCGGGAGGATGTGTGTTGGGATGAGTTTGAGATCCCTGGAGTTTCTGATTTACCCACTCTCTCAGCATGTAGAAATCTATATGTGTACTCTTGGGTGTGCTGGTACTGTGTTAGCTCAAAGGCATACAGTGTAAGGATGCATGCATGGGAGCTATAAATATCCTAATCTCAGGTGTCCCATG